TCAGGGCTGGGGCAGGAGGGACCGATCTTGAGCACTTCTCAATCAGCAGTGCAGCGGGGGTGCTAAGGCAGCTTCCGGCCTCTCCTGGCACCACAGACCATGTTGCGCTCCAGAAGCAGCCAGCAGCAAGTTCCTAGCCAATGCGAATGCGGAGCTAGTGCTCGGGGCAGGGACAGCATGTGGAGCCCTCCCCCTGCTAGGAGCTGGGCATGTTGCTGGTTGATTCTGGGGCACAGCACAGTCTGCAGTTCCAGGACAGGCAGGTAGCTGCCTTCATACCCCCACTGGTCATCTGATCCCCCTGCAGCAACGAGACTCAGTGCCTGACATTCCACAACACAGTAGTGCAAGTCTCTGTGACCCACAGCAGTGATACAAAGTTTAATGTCACTGTATCAGAAAATAAGATATTGTGGGACCAACTGTTAGGGTCAATAAGGGCCCTGCATTGTCTGTCCTCTCATTATGTAGGTTGACCATGACTGTGCATCACTCAGGGAGGTGATTTTACTGCACAGCGAACAGGGTGTTCATGTCAGCCAGAAACACAGGCCTTAGATACCATAATGTCTATTTGGTGACACATACAGGTAAATGAAAATATTTATTAACAACATGACGACGTCAGACCGGGATGGGCAATAATTTTCACGGGGGAACATAATGAAATTTGCAACATGGTCACCGGCCAACTCCACTTCTCCCTCCCCCCCCCGAAGGAGTGGGGCCTGGGGCAAAAGGACCTCTCCCTAGAGTTGTCTGGAGCCAGAGGCTCTGAATTAAAAAGACAGAAAAAGACTCCTAGGTCCCAGCCCCACTGCTACCGCATTGCCTGGCAGCTAGCTGGGGTTGCTGCAGCACTTTAAAGGGCTCACGGCTCTGACCCCTGCCAGGGTAGCACTGCAAGTGGAAGCGGTGAGTTATTTAAATGGGATCCAGTTACCTGAGCCACCACCTGGAAATTCGGTGATACAGGCAGCAGGATATAAATAATAAGAGACCAGATGCTATCCAGAGGCTGGATCAAAGTGTTAGGTGGGCTGGATCTGTCCCCCTGGCTGCATCTTGCCCAGCCCTGCTTCAGATCTAATGCAAAGCCCACTGAAGTCAATGGAAAGACACCAGTTGATTTAGAGATGTTAGATCAAACCCACAGACAGAAGTGGGGAAGGTCTCAATCCTGCAATTCACAATCTGAAGTAGGACTGCTGCATGTATGCAGAGCTCCACGTATGTCACATTTCCACACTGGTGCTGCAATCCACCCCCACATTTTAAGTTGCAGGATCAGGACCTGTATCAATAACAGAGCATTAACAATTTAGTAACATTTGTAAAGCTTGTCTAGACCTTCAATTTTGCTACAGTCCAGAACTGGTTTCCAGATTAGTGAATAAATTACCAATTTTTGAAAAGATAAAAAGTTAAATTCACCAAAGTATTTCTCAAAAGGGTCCACTTAGCATTCTTTTAAATTAATTAGTAACAGTTTACTTGGAAATTCATTAAACTAACCTCCAACAAAACCAAACTCAGTCCTCAAAGCGTAAATGCTGTAATTTAGGAAGGATACACCATATTATTCATACATTACAAATATTTTGATACCTGTTTTATGTGTAAGTACTCCATATGTTATATTGTGGCATAAACTATATCTGTATTTATATTAACCTGTGGTGTCCAACACAGTAGCCACTAGATACATGTGGCTATTTGACCAGTTGAGTGTGGCTACTGCTTCAGAACCAGTTGGACACCATGGATATAAATACACACACACACTTTATAAGAGAAGAAAGAAGTTTTAGGCCCCTTCCATTTTTGCTTTTCTTCCTGGAGAAGTCAATTATTCTCTTCACTGTGCTCCTGACTAGCTCTCAAGATACACATTTTTTAATGTACAGGCTGGTGTTAATATAATCTTGACAGCAGATAAGAATCACATGGAACATATCTCTTGCAAACAGTAAATACTGAAGATTTACCAGGTGTTGCTCAGGACCTTAACTCAAATAAGTTTTGTTTTTCTTCATTTAAATCATTGCTCCGGGGTGGAGCTGTGGATGAGAAGTTCAATATGCAGGGGAAAGAGGACAACTACAGTCCTCTCTCATCACAGCAACTTAGAGACAGCCATCCCTACCTCCTGCTGGCCCAATAGGGTTATAGCTCTCCTGGTCCCTATCTTTGGTCCCTTGCTGCTCCCCTATAGTCATTCCACAGAATAACTGTACCTCCTCCCATATCCCCTCTTTCCATTTTGTGAGCAACAATCAAATTCCAGGCACATCTCATTGTCCTGGAATAACCAGATTCTTACCTTGCTTTATGTTATGATCAGTGGAAGCTGTATGCCAAATTTGGCGGTCCTAGCTCTTACCATTTAGGAGTTGTTCTTGAACAGACAGACTCACAGATGGACAGAAAGATAGACACGCATTTCTAAAATATATAGTCACAAGATTTAGCACTGGAAAATACAATAGTGGTTTAAACAGCATGCACATCACAGCATGAATGCCATGTTACAGTTTTGCTAAGAAATAACGGTAATTTGGCTGAAGCCAATTAGAAGGACCTAGATCAGGGCTGGGCAAAATACTGCCCAGGAGCCAGATCCGGCCCGCCAAGCCACCAGATCTGGCCTGTGGACTACCCTGCTGGCACCCTCAGGCATACAGCTGCCACAGTTTAAAGCACAGTCAATGGGCTCTCTGCTCTGTAGGGAGGGGGAGACTTCATGTAACCTCCCCGCCCCCAGCCCAATCCTCAGCTCCTATTGGCTGGAAACAGCCAGCCAATAGGAACTGAGAGATTGGCCTGGGGGCAGCACAAGCTTCTTCCCCCTCTCAGAGCTGAGAGCCACATGGAGGGAACAGCCTGCAGTTTAAAGTGATATGGGGCTGCAACAGGCAGGGAGCCCAGTCTGCCTTGGGAGTGCTGCAGGGCTGCTGACCACTAGACACTTAGGTAAATGCCTCCCAGCCAGAGCCTACCTCTGGCACCCCAGCCCCTCCCATACCCCAACTCCCTCCCCCAGGTCACCATCCAAACCCCTCTGCCCCCTCCGTCACAACTCCCTCCCAGATCCTGTACCCTCTCCTACACTCCTCCCCCAGGCCAGAATCCTCCCCTGAACCCACACACCCTCCTAGACCCTGTATCCCATTTCCCTTCCTCAGGTCACCACCCAAACCCTCTGCAGTCTGCACCCCCTTTTCCCAGAGGTCACAATTCCCTCTCAGACTTTGCACCTCCTCCACGCCAGAGTCTTCTCCTGCAGCCACACTCCCTCCCTGACCCTACATCCTAATCCCCTGACCCAGGTCACAACCCTCTCCTTTTCCCAAACTCCCTCTCAAACCTCACTCCATCTCCTGCACCCCAGTCCCTTAGCCTTTGTACCCTTCTGCACCCAACCTCCCTCCTAGACTGTGTATCTCCTCCCAGGGCCGTCCTGAGGCATTCTGGTGCCATGGGCCCGGGGCTGGGGCGGGCCTGCCCCCCTAGGGAGTGCAGGCCCGCCCAGTAGTGCGCACGTCACATGCGTGGCCCGGCTATGGCCGCTGGTGCGCCGCATGGGGCCCACACCTGGGGCCCACACCTGGGGCTCACAGCGCATGCGCGGCCCAGTCCGGCCTGGCTGTCGCTGCTGGCATGCGCACCAGGCCGTGTAGGGCCCCATGGCCGTGGGGGAAAGGGCGTTGCTGGCCGGTGCCGCAGGGATGCGGGTGGGCCGGCGCTGCGGGAGCTGGGCGTGCGGCCGCTGGTGCGCCGCATGGGGCCCACACCTGGGGCCCACACCTGGGGCTCACAGCGCATGCGCGGCCCAGTCCGGCCTGGCTGTCGCTGCTGGCATGCGCACCAGGCCGTGTAGGGCCCCATGGCCGTGGGGGAAAGGGCGTTGCTGGCCGGTGCCGCAGGGATGCGGGTGGGCCGGCGCTGCGGGAGCTGGGCGTGCGGCCCCTGTCATCAGGCGCTCCCCATTGGTTGGCACCCTGGGCAGCTGCCCAGCTCGCCCATGCCTCTGTCTGGCCCCCCCATGGAAAAATGTGACTCTTGATCACTTTCCAAAATCTTGGAGTGGCTCCCCATCAAAAATTATTGCCCTTCCCAACCTAGATATATCACAGTGATTCCTCTCTAAAAATACTAGAGATTACACCAAATAGGTAAAAAAACCTCACAGTTTTTTAGTTATAATTCAAGATGACAAGCCAGGAGGCAAAGAATGAAACTTGGAACTTTTCAGCAACTTCTAGATCTGCCTTGGAATAATCAGAAAATCCATCCTGTAGAGTGTCTCTGTTTATTTCCATTTTTAAAAATCCCCTCTTTACCCCTTTGATTTCCCAACTCTGCAGCTGTGTGATTTAGCCCCTCCTTGGATAACTTAACCTGCCTCTTACAACTGGTCCAATAAAAGAACGCTTCTCTGAACCAAGGCACAGCAACACCAAAGCAACTCTCTCTAGATACTTGATTCGCAATCCACTTTGACCTGTCAAATCACTGCTTGGTGCGGTCCAGCTGTTGGGAGTGTTTGTTCATCTTGCAGTTCATCGGAACCCTCTGGAATAATACATTTGTAACACGCCACATGACTCCAACTCCACGCCAGGGAAAGAAACCTGGTCTCCCAGACGCTTCCCGGTAAATGAGTAAGATCTCCAGAGTTTCAGACCGAGACACACAGCGGCCAAAAAGGAACAGCCAGCCCTCTTCTCCCCCTGCAGTGCATCTAAACAGCAACCGTGCTCAGAGGAGGACAACAGACGGGCGAGTGACTTCCCAGCCTTCATTCGCCTGCACACACGTACACCCAGGGGTGAAAGGAACTTAATTTTCTGACAGGTACTGTCTTATGGCAACGGGTCCTTGCCAGCTCTTTAAATAGCTCCCCACAGCTCAGACAGTTCTTGCCAGAGCACCCGCTGACTGTCACCTCTGCATGCACCCACCCCAGCCCAGCCCCACAGCAGCGCTCCCGGGCTCACCCAGCAAGAGCAGTCGGTGGGTGTGCTTGTACTCCCGCTTCTCGGCTTTCAGCGTCTTGTCGATGCTCTTGCTCCTTTTCTTGTCCGCCTTCTCCTTGGCGACCAGCTCCTGCCGTAGCCGGTGGATCAGCTGCGGGTCCGCGTGCTCCAGCGGTCCGGCGTGCGGGTCCCCATCCCCGCCGTAGGCGATGGCGTGGTGGGCTCCGATTAGCCTGGCTCGCAGGCTGTAGCACATCCCCATGCTGCCGGGCGCGCGCGCTCTGCCCAGGCTGGTGTCTCCCCAGTTAGCAAGCCCCGGGCATGCTCTCCAGCCGGGCGCTTGGGGAGCGTCTGTCGCTACGGCCGCTTACGGTGGCACCGCTTCCCCTGCGCTCACCAGCATGTTTCCCTCCCCCTTTGGGCTTTTTTTCCTCTCTTTCCACACTCAGAAGGGGAAATAAACACGTGATCCAGGCAGGGCTACCGTATTCTCCAGAAAACCCAGGCGCAATAAG